ATAGATAGATAGATAGATAGATAGATAGATAGATAGATAGATAGATAAGATCTGGGGTTATGTCACCTGAATCTCTATGACCTCAAGGGGCCCCAAAGGCCTTCTGTATGTACCCAGCATCCTTCCAAACAATTTGATCAACCTCAAATTCTCAAAGCAACAGAAATAGAAGAATGGGGAATAATGTTTACATTTCAATATAAACTCAATCAACTTCCCTTTTTTACTTAGCCTCAGCCACTCGATTCTTCTGTTTCCTAGCGTTTCATTTTCCAGGTCAAATGAGGCTATTGTTGGCATGCAGAAAACAAAGTATAACAAATTAACAGAATTGGAAGGAACCTTGTAAATCATTAATCCAACCCCCCAACCCCCCCACCCCCAATGTTTGTCCCAAGGGTAAATAAAGCAATGATTTTTTAAAAGCATTACTGTATTGAATTAATGTATTTTTTGTTGTTGTCCTCAAGATGTGTTTTTATTACACTTGAACATCACTGCAGGCTCAGGAAAAAAAATTGAGATAATAGAGATGACATTGATATTCTGTATGAGATACTAGTTAATTTTTGGAGGGGACACAAATGACACACACACACACACACACACACACACGTACAGCCCCAGAATTAAAGTAATGGTAGCTTTTTATCTCCCTTGATGATTTCAGGTTCTCCTGGATGTTGCCAAAAAGCTTGGAATCAAGTGTCACTCAAAGGGGACGGTAATTACAGTTGAGGGACCACGTTTTAGTTCTCGGGCTGAAAGCTTGATGTTTCGTAGCTGCGGAGCTGATGTGATCAATATGACGACAGTCCCAGAAGTAATTCTGGCAAAGGAGGCGGGAATCTGCTATGCGAGCATCGCCATGGCAACCGATTATGACTGCTGGAAAGAACATGAGGAAACGGTGAGTGAAAGTTGCTGTTTTCCTTGGGGATACGCACTTTCAGGAGCATAGACACAAAAATTGGAATTATACTACTTGCGTATTACTTTTCCCTCTCAAAATTATGAGTCCCTCTCAAAAAAAAAGATGGAAAAATTACAAATTCTGACAATCTATGTGGAGCTCAGTTTTTTTTCCCCAGCTTCCAGGATGTGAGAAGAAATGAGTGCATATGACATACTTGTAATATTTATGCATACATGCACATACTGTACATGCTTGATACAAACCACACAGACAGAAAGGAGCAGTGTGTGTGTGTGAATTTTTTTTGATACAGTAAAAGTATACAAAACAAAGATAGTAAGAAAAAAAGGGAACGAAAAGAGAAAAAACATTTAGTTATGCCTTCCACCCTTCTTTTTATAAGTCATTACCATCTCACGCTTCTTCCCATCCTCTTTGGCCCTTTTTAATTCCCAAGCTATCAATTCGGTTTTTTCCTCCTTCAGCAAAAAGACAAAGAAAAGATTGTGCTATTTTTTTTCCCTGACCAGATTTGTCAGATTCATTTCTGTATGTTCAGCTAATTTTATAATTCAGTCTTTGTATACAATAAACTTGTTGCCTGGACTGGAGGCCTTCTCAATAGCAGCTCCCTTGCTGTGGAACAACTTGTTATCTGAAGTATGTGTGGCTCCGTCCTTTTAGAAGTAGATGAAAACACGGTTGTTCCAGAAGGCCTTCAAAGTTATTCTTATTTACTGTTTGACTTCTTATAGTCTGACTTGTTGTTACACTTTTAGTAATATGCTATTCATTTATTTAACACATTTATTGTGTGTATTTTGTATAGTTCATATAGTCTGGATGCTGCCTAGAATCCAGTTGGTTTCAGACAGTCAGATAAATTTCATAAATAATACACAGTTGCTTTCATACATTTAAATAAACAAGCACATACAGAAAAATAGGGTCAAAATTTGGAGTGGGGGGGGAATGGGAGCAATAATTGCACCAAGGAAGATAGGAGTAAACCTGGAGGGAAATGAGCTGAGAGAATAGCAGAATAGGCAAGAGAGTATGAGGTCTTTATTAAAGAGCACTCCAGGGATTACTAAATAGCAAATGAATCTCCCAGCTGAACAGCACCTTCCAGGAGCAGTTAATCTGGAGGTTATTGTTAAAGGCAACTTTCCAGCAGTAGCACTGTCACCATTCATTACCATCACATGTCCATTTCTTTGGTTTCAGCAGCTTCTGTTTTTATCTGAAGCTTCACTCCAGCAAATGTAAGACCGACTTACTTACCAATCCACTGTAATTATTAGAAACCTTTGCTTTCTCTTACTTATGGTAAAGTCAGCGGTATAGATAGCCTTCACCCAAAATTTCTGTTCCTGACAGTTAAGCGAATTTTGCCCCGTTTTGCTATCTTTCTTGCCACAGTTGTTAACACTTGTAATTTTCATATAACACCTATTTCCAGGTAGACATTTCCATGCACATTTTCTCCTAATACAGGTAGCTCTCGATGGGCAGTTGAGACCAAAATCTCTGTTGCTAAGTGAGAAAGTTGTTAAGTGAGTTTTCTCCCATTGTATGACCTTTCCTGCCCAGTTGTTAAGTGAATGGCTGAAGTTGTTAAGTGAATAACACAGCTGTAAAGAGCCTCCGACTTTGCTTGTTTGAAGGTCGCAAAAGGTTCATGACCCTGGGACACAGCAAAGGTGACAGATTTGGGTCAGTTGTTGCCAAGTGTCCGGATTTTGATCAGGTGACCATGGGGATACTGCAATGGTCATAAATGTGAAAAACGGTCGTAAGTCATTTTTAGTGCCATTGTAACTTCAGATGGTCACTAAATGAGCCGTGGTAACTCAAGGGCTACTTCTGTTCCTTCACTCAATAAACCTGGGAGAGATATGTTGGGATAAAAGATAATGAAAGACCCGGATATCATTCAGTGAACTTCTATGGTTGAGTGTGGGTTTTTTGACCCTGATCTAAGCCCCTAACAATAGCTGTTCACTGTTGTTACTGTTGCTTGAACGGATGCTGTTTGATTGGCTGATCTTGTCCGTAAAGGGAGTTCACAATCAAAGAGAAGTTGCTATATTTTGAACACAAATGTACGCCAATGAGTCTTGCTGCTTAAGAGATACTTTCCTAGATACTCTCGCAAAAATAAATCACCCCTGGTCGTTAGTAGAATATAGTAAAGAGCTTAAATGTGCTAAAATTGTAAGTGGGTGCCTATTGAATTCCATTTGAGAAATCTACAATTGAAGAATTGTAATCAGAGCCCTCTCTAAGGGGTTTACAGTGTCAGCGTATTGCCCCCAACAATCTGGGCCTTCATTTTACTAACCTCGGCAGGATGGAAGGCTGAGTCAACCATGAGCCTGGTGAGATTCGAACTCCTGGCAGTGAGCACAGTTACACAGCATTCTAGCCACTGCACCACTAGTGCTCTATGGTATATGTAGCGTTCCTTTCTATTATATCCCCATCTCAGTGGCCCTTTGAGATAGGCTAGACTCTGAGAGAGTGACTGGCACAAAATCTCTTAGAAAGCGTTTGTGCTTGAGGGTACATTTGAACCCTGGCTACCTGGTCCGTGCTAACCAATATATGGTGCTGACTACCTTTTAATGGTTACTGGGATATGTGTTTGTGCACGTAACTACATTTTACCTAACCTTAATCCTATTTAGGGTTGTTTTTTTCACATTAGCTATTGACTTTTTAAAATAAAATTCTGTTAAATGTGTTTGATATATTAGGCAGGTTTTGTTTTTCCTTGAGAAAGGAATCCTTGTGAGGATGCTCATAATAAAGTTACGTGTTAAAGTGTTACTGTGATCAAGATTATTTGTCTGCATCTATCCGAAAACTTTTCTGAATTGCTTTGATTGAAATTATACTGGAACATACCTAACGTTTGATATTGTCCTGCATCTCTATACTCTATATTTTGTTTATTGGGATTTACTCTTGTGTAAATGGGAAATGTAAATTTCCCATTTACACTAGAGTAAATCCCATTGTGTAAATGGGACGCGGTGGCTCAGTGGCTAAGACGCTGAGCTCATCGATCAGAAAGGTTGGCAGTTCGGCAGTTTGAATCCGTAGTGCCGCGTAACGTAGTGAGCTCCCGTTACTCATCCCAGCTTCTACCAACCTAGCAGTTCAAAAGCATGTAAAAATGCAAGTAGAAAAATAGGGACCATTTTGGTGGGAAGGTAACAGCGTTCCATGCACCTTCAGCATTTAGTCATGCTGGCCACATGACCGCCGAGACGTCTTCAGACAGCGCTGGCTCTTCGGCTTTGTAACAGAGATGAGTACCGCCCCCTAGAGCCGGAAACGACTAGCACGGATGTGCGAGAGGAATCTTTACCTTTAAATGGGAATAAGATCAAATTCTGAGGGTTTCTATTCTGAGAAGGAGGCGGGGAGGGAGAGAGAGAAAGTGTGTAGTTGGCTGGTTTAATTTCAATTTTTGTGGTAACCCACTCACGCAAGGCAAATATATATATGTATATATGAATGAAGAGAGCCTAATGATTATCTTGTTCTTCTAGGTCTCAGTGGACAGAGTTCTAAAGACGCTGAAGGAGAATGCAAACAAAGCAACTAGTTTGCTACTCACTGCCATACCTCAGATTGGATCCATGGAATGGTCAGAAACCCACCAGAACTTGAAAGTAATTTGATGTTTCTATTTAATTTGTTATTTAAGTATATGTGGGTGGTTTTTTTTTTAAAGTTTCCAGAATACTTTTAATGAGCAAAGCCCCACCCCCAGGGTAAGTTTACCTTGGAAAGCTCCAATGCAATAAAAACTAACTACGGTTGGTACAGTACAGACAGTCCTCGACTTAACAGTTACAAGTACAATTGAGCCCAACATTTTTGTTGCTAAGTGAGGCAGCTGTTAATTTTGCCCCATTTTATGACCTTTCTTGCCGCAGTTGTTACTTGCACAGTTAATTGAATCTGGCTTGTCCATTGACTTGGCTTGTTTAGAAGGCCACAAAAGGCAATCACATAACTATGGGGATGTTGCAGTGGTCATAAGTGTGAAAAATGGTCATGGGTCACTTGTTTCAGTACCATAACTACAAACAGTCACTAAATGAATGGTTGTAGTTTGTGAATTACCTGTAATACTGAAACATTGCAGTAGTATCATAGGTAACATTGATAAAATTTAGAAAAATCAAACATTTAAAATATGCTATAGAGTTACAGTTACACACTTAAAATCCAGAACAGCCCAGTTAAATCTTTAAGAGAAGAACATCATTCATGCTACCCTAAAACTTAAGCTGAGGCCTGGCAAATCCCAGATGGTTGGATCTGATATCAAGAAATATTCTCTTACACTCCCAAGAGTAATAACCTTTGAGCCATGAGCAGGCGCTGAATTATTAATTTGCAGGCAGGTAGATACAGGTGTTTTGTTTTGTTTTTAACAAACTTGAACCTTTAAACTGAATAGAGCTCATCAGCTCACCCATTAACAGTGCACTTCCTTGCGTTATCAATAAGAAGCTACCCTGACATATTCAGATGGCTTAGACTCCAACTTTTAAAAAGATACGTTGTGTGATCCAAACATCCCCACCCAGCAATTCTTGGAATTCGAGTTTTTGCATTTGCCAAACGGTTTGATATATACTGGTGTTCTCCAGAAAGCGTTTTAAAGATCCTGAACATTTTACAGTAGATACTTACAATCCATGCATGTACACCCATGTGTTCACATCATAATGAAGTACTTTTGTTTAAACACTGAAACAGAATGCTGAAGAATGTCAAGAGGCGCAAGTAGTAAGAGTCTGGATAGATAAATAAATACAGATTCCAGAAGCATACAAATAGGGACCAGATCTGTACTGAAGCCCCTAGGAGGACATGCCATGAACTAGATGGGGCGGGGGGGTGGGGTTGTCTCTAAATGTGGCAACTTGTGGACTTCAACTCTCAGAATTCCTCAGCCATGTTGGCTGGGCAATTCTGGGAGCTGAAGTCCACGAGGCATAAAGTTGCCAAATTTTGAGGTCCCTGAAGTAGACGGTCCCTAGAACAGAATTTCCCCAACTTTTCTGGCTTGGCAGACCGGCAGGGGGAGGAGAGGGGATGGATCCACATCAGAAATGGGCGCACGCACCTGCTACTAGCATAAGTGGGGGTGCATGCGCAAACTCGCCCACCATTTCCATGGCTTGGTTCCGAACAGCTCATGGCCCATTAGTGGGCTGCAGTCCAGAGTTTGGGGACCCATCTTCTAGAAGGTGATATCTTTAAAAGTTTGATTGCAACACTGAAGGAATCACCTGGAGAATTTGGATCAGGGCAAAGGCTAATAAAAACTGGAATCAACCCATATCTTATAGTTGGCAAATCCACAGTAAAATCGGTGAGCTGACTTCCGAATCAGCCAGTAACCAACCGTATTTAAATACAAAAGCAACTATGTCTCTTATATGTTGCTAAAGTTTTAATCCCAGTGCTCTGACCCAGCTCCCCAAATACAACAAGCCCGCTGATGTGAACTCAGAAGATTCCTTTATTAGGAATGCTGGCAGCCCCTGCAAAAAGTTTCTATCGTAGGCTAACAGGTCTGCCTGGCCAGAAGATGAATAGTTGTCTACCACACCTGTTCATCTCCGCCCCCTGCCTAGGGCGGGGCCTCATTAGCAGTGGTGGCTCTTCCTTCCCCAGGATTGGCCCACGGATTTCCACTCCTCTCCCGTTCTCTGCCTTCTGCGCATCCGCACATCAGGCATTAGCCTCCGTGTTTCTCTTCTTCCTCATCAGCCATCTCCAGACCTGGGGGTTGTTGATTCTCTATCTGAGGGCTGGGTTCCTTCTCTGTCTGCCAGCACCATTCCCTCTTCCCCCTCAAGAGCTCCTAGGTTGCCCCGATGCTGACCCTGACTTCCACCCCTCCTCCTCTGATTCTGCTGCTGGAGAGGCTGGTGGCCAACAGGCCACAACACCCAGGTTTTTAACCAATGGTAAGACATGCCAAGATGTAATCCAGCAACACTTGGAAAATCACAGGTTTCCCTTCTGTGTTCTAGAAAAGTGAGAGTGGCAAGTGTGATTAATATATACCTTCTCCTCTGGGTAAGAAGAAGTATAGCATATAAAATCATACATTGCAATGTCCTACCTCTCAATGAATACTTCAGCTTCAACCATAACAACACAAGAGCAAACAATAGATACAAACTCAAGGTTAATCGCACCAAACTTGATTGCAGGAAATACGACTTCAGCAACAGAGTGGTCAATGTCTGGAATACTCTACCTGACTCTGTGGTTTCTTCCCCAAACCCCAAAAACTTTAACCGTAGACGGTCTACTATTGACCTCACCCCTTTCCTTAGAGGTCTGTAGGGGGCGTGCATAAGCGCACCAACGTGCCTACCATCCATGTCCTATTGTTTCTTTTTTATTTTTCTTATATGTATCCATTTCATGTATTCATAACTATGTTTATACTTATACCTGTTATCTTGTAAGCGATTGACAAATCAAATAAATAAATAAATAAAAATTAAAAATGTTTTAGATTTGGAACACAAAATAGGGTATTTTGTAGGGAGAAAACACATCTTACTTTAGTTGACCCCAGTAGTCTTCAACTTACAACCACAATTGAGCCCAAAATTTATGTTGCTGAACAGACTGTTGTAAGTCAAGGTCTACCTGTATTTGTTTCTGCCTCAAAGTAATAATGACGTAAAACATTAATTTTGTTGCGTCAAAAGCAGGATTCAAGCAACAAAAGCCTTCAGGTTCTGGGTTGAAGTGAATTAAGGCTCTTATTTGGCATCCTATAACTTTTGTGCATACTCTGGATGTTATCGTTTACCAAAAATCTATTGCTAATTTTGTAGTGCTTTTTATTTAGCCAGATCGTAACTTCTGTATAATAATTACAAACCTTAAAAGAATTTGTTCTTAATGCAGCTTTCCCGCCCACCCACCCACCCCCCTTGCATTTCAGAATACTGTGCAGTTATCCGTCATGCTACCAAAACATTGAAAACCTACCAAGCTACAGGACTTGAAGATCAGAAGACAGACAGACGTCTTTACTTTTAAAGAATGCCTTTAATGGATGCGGCATTTTTCCTTTCCATCTGCTAATATGCTTCTTTTGGAATAAGATCTTGCAAAGGCTGAAGAACAGAACATTCGCAGCAGATTTGAAAAGTAATTAATTCTTAAAACTGACATTTCAGACTGTGAACACAATAGCTGATACTTGATCATGTTCCACTGATATGAAAGAGGTTTTTTTTTTTTTTAAAAAAAGAGGGTCATTAGCTCTAGTTCAAATATTAGATCATAACTCAAATCAAAAATGGCTAATCCATAACAAGCTATGTTTATATCCCCTTGCTCGCCCCCTCCACCCCCCCAAAAAAATGACCACCACCCCCAGAGTGGTTATAGTAGTGGATTGCCATTCTGTAGCATTTTTAAAACGCAAAGAAATTGTTTTGAATGGGGATTAAATGCATTTTTATTATGCTTTTTAATAGAAAATTACGGACTTTTTGTGTCTTCAGTTTAATATGCTGGATTTCATGAATTGCTGGATTTATTTTCTTTTTTTTATATGTTTTTTTTTAAGAGTTTGTGGCGGATGGGTAGACTTGGTTGATTTATTATTTTTTTATTTGAATGGCTCTGAGGGGAGTTTTTGGGCAGCAAAAAAGCAGGATACGTGGGTTTTGTGTGGTAAAGAAAAAAGCCATTTTAAGACCACAAAGGACTCAATCATGAATTTTTTTCAGTTGCCAACAGTGAGTGTTGAGCAACTCCATTTCCGTTCGAAGTTTTCTGGTGCCCTTATGGCTGTGGGAGCTCTTCCAAACTAAGGCCACTGTGTTACTTCAGAAAAAAACTACCTTTTATTGAAGACAATACACCATTTATTCTAGCAAAAGCAGCAGAGTAACAGAGACTACTATAGGTGAGCGATGTTTCTGAGTGTTTGAAGGCATCACAAACTTGTTTGAATGGGTTGTGTTTGAACGATTATGTAGTAACAGCCTCAGAAACTTCTCTGAACCAAGTCACTTGGTTCACTTTATTTTTTTTCCTAAATATTTTGAAGAGTGAAGAACGAGTACAACGTCTCTGAAGAACATATTCACATTGTTTGGAACGCTGCTGCTGAATATAATATACACTGTGTACTGTTGTATCCTTTCAAATTATGCCTTAGTTACATATGTTAAATACCCTCTCTTCTGTTTACATAAAAAGAGAATGCAATGCTGCTTTTCTCAAATAAAACTCAATGTAACCTCTACTGTGTCTTTCTGATTTGAAATTAGGCGTTCTCACCCCAGGTATATTCTTTAGGTTGCTCTGAATGAGCAGAAAAATGATTGGGTTTTTTAAAATTGGATTCTTGAATTATAATGTTATCCTTTCTTCCCATAAATGTCCCCATCAAACACTTTGAGAGATGTTTCTTAGCCTTCCAATCTGTGGAAAGGGAAGTATGTCATTGTAAGACTTGAATAGCAGGAGCTGTCATGCCCCTGTTGGAATCTGATTCGGAGAGGGAGGCCGGGCAGCTGACAGGGAGTGGGAGTGGGGCTTCGTTGGCTGTGGAAGAAACTGGGGAAGGGCAAAGTTCGGCTGGGCAGAGCCAGGGGAGAGGTAGAGCAAGGCAGAAGGAATTCAGAGGAAGAGCTAGGCTCACCCCCTCTTCATGCTAGGGCATGCAGGGAGGAACGAAGAAGGGAGCAACGTGAGTTGCATGGCTTACGGGGGAGGAAAGGGCCCTGATTCCCTTCATTAGCTGCAGCTGGGAACAGTGTTTAAAAAAGGAGTTTGCACACAGCAACTTGTTGGAAGCAAATAGTACGTTATCTGATATTGTCAAGGCTTATCTGGGTTCCTGGCGTCTTCTCAATTGTGTGTGTTTTGCTGTGCTTTCAAGTCTGCAATTCCTTCTCCTGCCCTGTCAAGTTAATTACTGTAGCGTGGTTTGTGTGGATTTTTATTTACAGTTTATATGTTCTTTGTTTTCGGACTGAATTCCTTCCACTTAAAGACTGTTCTTAGGAAAGTTTTTTTTCCAGCCTAAGGTAACTGGACATTGGGGGCAAAGTTGGAGGTATTAAAGGGACTTTTCTTACTTATGTGACTGTTGCCTTTGTGCTGCGTCCCGGGTCATCACAGTAGCACTTAGACTTATATACTGCTTTACGGCCCTGTCTAAGCAGTTTATTTACAGAGTCAGCATCTTGCCCTCAACAATCTGGGTCCTCATTTCACCGACCTCAGAAGGATGAAAGGCTGAATCAATCTTGAGCCGGTGAGACTCGAACTGCTGACAAGAAGCAGTCAGCAAAATTAGACTGCAGAACTGCATTCTAACCACTGCGCCACCAAATCATAGTAGACCTTGCCTGTGGTAACCCCAGCTCTACAGAATATGCTATTGGTGGAAGTAAGTTTAATCCATGTACTTTTGGAATCCATAAGGCCAAAATTATTGATGGAAGCTTAAGAATTCAGTTTGCTCGAACATGATGACTTCTATAGTCACTGAAGAGTTTCAGTTATTTATTTACTGTTGTTTTTTAAGCGAGGCACTCTGGTTTCTCTTTTTACTATACTCTTTTTCCCTTTGCAAGCAGGCTGCCAACATAGATACCTTTTGTCAGAGGACACGAACTAAGTATTTGCAAGGGTGTTGCTGGAAGTTGCCTATCCTTTTGTTTTGCACCTTTGGGATTTGATAGTCCCTTTATTCCTTCTTGGAATGATGACTGGGAAGTCCAACTGGGGCTTTCAGGTTCTGAAAGTTGTGACTGACGTGTCATTTGTCCAAATTAATTACCATATTTTCACCTGCCCACATAAGAGAGTTGATAGCATCTCCTTGTACCATGTGAGTGTAATTCTCAGGACTCCAGGGTTCTGAAGTATTAACAAACAGTCCAGATTCCAACACTTGATATCTATATGTATCCAAACCAATAAATGCCCCAAACAAGCATATTTATTCAACGGCCATTTTCTTTGTTATACAGGGAGTCCTCAACTCACAATTGGGGACCGGATGTTTTCATTCCTAAGCAAAGCAGTTCAGTGAGTCCCACCTGATTTTACAACTTTTTTTTTTTTTTGCTTTGCTTGTCCAGAAAAATCACTGCAGTTGTTAAGTGAATTGTGTGATCATGAAACAAATCCGGCTTCTTCCATTGGCTTTGCTTGTTGGAAGACAGTTGGGAAAGTCACGAATGCCAATCAGATGACCCTGGGATGCTGTAGTCATTGTAAATGCATGCTGGTTGGCAAGCACCTGAATTTTGATCACACGGCCATGAGGATGATGCCATGGTTGTAGCTGTGAGGACTGATTATAAACCACTTTTTTTTCCAGTCCTGTAGTAACTTAGACTGGTCACTGAACAAATAGCTGTAAGCCGAGAGCTACTTGTACTAGAACTCCTTTCTGCAACAGTGTCCGTGGGTGTAATGGCTGCAAAATCGTCACAATCAGCAATTCACACAGGTATTACCAGGATGGATTCATTGGTATAGTTTTCAATCAGCTCAATCAATCAGAATAGAGGATAGGAGGGACCTTTGAGGTCTTCTAGTCCAACCCCTGCTCAGGTCCAGCCCCCTGCTTAAGAGACCCTACATCATTCCAGACAGATGGCTGTTCAGTCTCTTCTTAAAAACCTCCAGTGTTGGAGCATCCACAACTTCTGGGGGCAAGTTGTTCCACCTGTCAGGAAATTCCTCTTTAGTTCTAGGTTGCTTCTCTCCTTGATTAATTTGTATCCATTGCTTCTTGTCCTGCCTTCAGGTGCTGTAGAGAACATGGTCCATAGTATTCAAGACTGGCACATAGCTTTAGTATCCCTGACCAAACATCCCAGAAACTTCTCATTTCTACACCCCAAGAAGCACAGTAGCAATTGATTAAAGGAGAATATTTGTAGTTCAGGATTGAAATGACTTCAACTTCACAACTTCTGAAGGCCAAGTCATTCCACTATCCTCACTGTTAGGAAGTGGTTGCTTCTCTCCTTGAGTAGTTTCCATTCCCTGCTTCTTGTCTTGCCTTGTGGTGATTTTGGTGAATACCCAAGTACAGGTAGTTTCCAATTGGGAGGTAGCAAGGACAGAAGCATCCCCTTTATTATAATATTTCTGCCATAATTTAAGAACTATCCCCTCCAGACTGTTGGGGTTTCACCAGCAGTAATCAGCATGCTAGGATGGCCTGGTTGACTGATAAGAACATGCCCAACCGTTGGGCTATTACTAATAGCTGAGGTTGTATTTAAAGATGCTAACCACAGATTCATTCATTTCCCACTATGTCCTCCCAAAATCTCAAGTCTCTGTGCTGCACAATAAATCAGGCACAACGCATCCTGTCCATATCATTTTAGAAATGAATTCATCAGTCATGAATACCTAAAGATAGTTGGATCTTGTTGCTAGTTTTTCATCTAGCAAAGTTTTCCTTTGCCTGGGAAAGATAGTTAAGAGGGGAACTATTTTTTTTTTAGGCTGGTGTATTCACCATGTAAGGCCAGGATACTAAAAAAATTGTTGGTGTAGTCAACAACACCTAATAAAGACCTTTTCACCTAGGATTTAAAATTTTCTTCCATTGGTGTATTTGAATAATCCCCACTTCCTTTACTGTCTGTCACTTTATATATAGCCTCAGTATTTTTATTCTGTTGATGAAGGATAGAAATTAAAGCTTGCAATCAAGAAAAAAATCATCAACAAAGCTGGATCTGGTTTGATTACTGAAATACTCAGTGGAGTGTGCATAGTTGTCCCATAATGACTTCGTGGAATGGAAGCCTTTATGTTCCACTTGGTTAATTATAAATGCTCATTAAGGCTAATGACCGGGCACCTGGCCAGGACAGATTACAGTCTTGGGTGACTAGCCCATTTGTTTTTCAAGACCCCACTTGTTGCATCGGAAGAACAGACTGTGGGCAGAAAACTCATGGACCCTTAAGATCTAAATTCAAGGATTTTCCAAAGGGTAAGTGGAAGATGCCATACTTAGCGACCAGATGATGTAATAAGATTTTAGCCACTGCCATGGCATCAGTCTTCCATATAGAAAAGTCTTCCATTCCTTTAGAAAGCATACTCACACAAACAAATCTGTAGCTTCTTGATGATGGCAACTCCATAAAATCCAATTATAGGTCCCCAAAGGGCCAAACGGGATAGCCCAATCCATGCGGAGGAAGTGCCACTGCTTGCATTATTTGAGAGGCATAGAGTACGAATAATAATCACGGCCATAATGGTCTGATTTAATCCCAGTGCAAATCAAAGGACTGAATTTGATGCTTCACAGCTTAATGTTGTGTTAATCCTGCCAAAAGAGACAGCCATCTAGAGCAACGGTCGCTAAGCAGTGGCCCGTGGCCCACTGGTGGGCCATGAGAAATTTTTGGTGGGCTGCAGAGAAATCTCACTCCCAGAGCACCACCACAAAGCAATTAATCCAGGCTGTGCAGAAACACAAGGCTACGCCACCCACATGGCCCGCAGGAACCCTCCCCGTCCACTCATTCTTTATCAAGCAAACTTGCCTGCTAAACTGCTATTTTTCCTTGTTCTGACCATCATCTGTTCTGCTGTGCTGGGAGATTTAGATTAGCTAGGAAGCAGGAAATGGTTGGATATCTTGCTTTCTAGCTAGTCTTTAGATCTGCGGCTCAGCACAGCCGAACCTCCCTTAGGACTGAAGTTTTGTTTGCAAGTAAATTCAGTGCAGACTCACGGCAAGCAAATTTGAGAGATTGAGCTAGCCGATGGCAGATAGATCACTGAATGATTCTGTGAGCAACTCAATCTTCCTGCTTTGCCCGATTTTGGGTAAAAGTTGCTCTTTTTTATAAAAAAAATTCAATATTTACATGCATGGTGTGCTGCGAGTTAATTTTGTGAGTTTGCTTGTAAGCAACTTTTATGTGACAGACTGAGCCAGCCAATGGCAGATAGATAGTGTTCTGTATTAACATTCTTGGAGACTCGCATTCTGATTGGTCCACCCAGACCGCAATCTGATTGGTTCGCGGAACGCCTGTGATTGGAGCACTAAGAATCTACCGCGATTGGCTGAGCCGATCGCGGGAGATTCAAAGCGCTGCCATTGGCCGCCGAGCCGCCGGCCGGCTGTATAAAGCCAAGCGGCTCGCACACTTTAAGCTGTCCTTGTCCAGAGCTGAAATAAAGAGC